GTTCTCAGCTACAGAGAGGGGACTCTGTCAGGCGGTGGTGTGGGGTCCCTGGGACCAGGCTTCCGGAAGCACCAGAGACTGCAGGTGACAGGAGCCCAGCAGAGGGGTTAGAGGGGTCCAAGCCCAGCCCCGAGGTCTGAGGGCGGTGCACAGGGAGGGGCTCTGGGAGCCAACCCCTCCCTGGCCCCTACAGGATGGATCCCACAGCTGCAGCTTGAGGCCATTGGCTGGCCACAGAGCACACCCAGGCCTCCCTGTCTTCTGGGAGTGTGGGAGCCTCACTGCCTGCAGCCCACCCCCAGCGCTAGGGGTCCTTCTGTAGGCTCCTCTGTTCGTCTTTGCACGAGGTCTTAGTGCCAGCATCCCATGTGGGCCCCAGTTAGTCTCGGCTGCTCCACTATCCGGGGTCCAGCTCTCTGCTGTGGCCTGAGAAAGCAGAAGATGGCCTAAGTAGGCCAGCATCGTGGCTCAATAGGCTAATCCTCCGCCTGCAGCGCCGGCACACCAGGTTCTAGTCCGGGTTGGGGCGCTGGATTCTGTCCCGGTTGCTCCTCTTCCAGTCCAGCTCTCTGCTGTGGCCCGGGAGTGCAGTGGAGGATGGCCCAAGTACTTGGGCCCTGCACCCCATGGGAGACCAGGAGAAGCACCTGGCTCCTGGCTTAGGATCAGCGCAGCGCCAGCCGCAGCAGCCATTGGAGGGTGAACCAACGGCAAAGGAAGACCTTTCTCTCTCTCACTGTCCATTCTGCCTGTCAAAAAAAAAAAAAAAAAAAAAAAAGATGGCCCAAGTCCTTGGGTCTCTGCACCCACGTGGGAGACCTGGAGCAAGCTCCGGCTGTTGTGGCCATTTGAGGAGTGAACCTGCAGATGGAGACCTTTCTGTCTCTCCCTGTCTCACTCTCTCAAATAAAATCTCTATAAAAATATTTGAGAGGCAGAGTTACAGACTCTCCCATCAGCTGGTTCACTCCCCAGATGGCCAACAATCGGAGCTGGGCGGACCCAAAGCCAGGAGCTTCTTGCGGGTCTCCTACACAGGTGCAGGGCCCAGACACTTGGGCCATCTCTACTGCTTTCCCTGGAGAATTAGCAGGGACCTGGATGGAACTGGAGCAGCTTGGACTCAAACTGCTGCCCACACAGGGAAGTTTAACCTACACCACAGCACCGGCCCCATCACACGAGATCTTAAGCTGCGATCCAAAGCCCCACGGTGTCCACCAAGAGAATTCAGGGATCTATAAACTTGGGTGGGAAGAGACCTCTTTGATGAACCCCCAACCACCCTTGAAGTGCAAGTGTAGGCAGCAGACCAGTGTCCGGGCACTCACCTTGGTGGTCAGCCAGCGCGGTGTGGGCACCGGGACGAAGCTGGTGCCCCCTCCTGATGTCGGGACCATTGACGTCCTGTTCCAGCGGATCGGGATCGGCCCAGGCCCTGGCCTGGCAAACACTGATGTGTGGCTCCTAGGAGGGAGCCAGCTCAGTGCCGGCGAGGCCCTGGCCCACAACAGCTGCATCAAGTGACCCACACACAGCCTCGTCCCAGACTGTGGCCCCATTAACCTTGAACTGCCTGAACAAAGCTGACCTAACCCCCATTTTTCCCCCAAAGGCACCAGACAGCTCCTCAGTGCTAACCTCGGGGGTCACAGGGAATAGAAATCACCCCAGTGGTGGGACTCACACATCTCACGTGAGCTCCGGCTAGAATCCCAGCTACCCCGTAACACGCCTGCGAAGGTGCCAGAAGATGGCTCAAGTGCTTGGGCCCCTGCGTGAGACCCAGGACCCAGGTGGAGTTTCAGGCTCCTTGGCTTCGGCCTGTCCCAGCCCTGGCCTTTGTAGCCATGAGTGAGTCAGTGGTTCAAAGAGCTCTCCAACTTCTCAAGTCCTTTCTCCCACACAGGTGGCAGGAATCCCATCGCACTGCTCCTTAGCACAGAGCAGTTGGGTGGGAATGAAACCCAGATATGAAATGGCATTTGAAAGGCCGTTACACTGACCTGGAAGCACAGTAGCTGGGCCCTAAGTGGCACTGTAACGTGGAATAGACCAGAGGTGTTCCTGCCCTGTGCAGTGTGGAGACTTGTGGTGGGCACAGCATACTCCCATATGCTCCTGGGGCAGCTGCTTAGGTGACCCTTGAACACGTGTGTCCTAGAGCGCTGGTTACTGTGCTGGATCCATGGAGGCAGTGGCAACCCTAGTGCCCGAGTTCCTATCTTCACCTTGGCCCAGCCCCCCCCCCCCCGCCCCCCACCCATGTGTGGCTTCCCCAAGGTCCCTTCACCACTTCCCAGGTGAGTCCCTGGGCTCCTAGGGCTGGCAGGGGCCACCAGCTGGTGACCCTGTTAACTGGATGGAGACTCCAAAAGTCCTGGGACTGTCCCTCCTACCCCAGTGCCACCCCCTACAGTCTGTCTTCGGGGGGGGGGGGTGTAGGAAGGAGGAGCCACCCGACCACTGGACTTGGCTGCCTTTCGTCCTTGGCATCCCTAGTGGGCACCATTCCCAACGTGTGGGTGACACCATCAGTGGTGGCAGTGGGCACAGGATGAAGCTCCCCAGTTGTCCTAGACACACTTCCCCAGGTGTCTTGGCTGAGCTCCCAGGCTCCTCGGCCCTAGCCTGAGGGTGATTCACTGGCCTGAAGCCAGGCCTCCCCCAGCTTCTCACAGCCTCTACCAGGGACTTCCCCTTCCCCACAGGCTGCTGCTGCCACCTGCTGGGAGAACCACGGAAGTGCCCACAACCATTTGCCAAAAGGGAAACTTTCATTTTCCTAAAATGGCTGCAAAGCCCTGGCCCAAGCCACCAAACCAGCAATAGAGCACCAGGCAGGGACACCACCTCAGGCCTCCTCCCCACACCTGCAGCTTCAGCTTCATCCCACGGGGCCAGCACACCTCAGTGACCCAGCACTGAGCAGAGCTCGGCCACTGGCGCCCCCCACCTACTCCCCCTGTGGGAAGCACAGCCCCACTTGCTCTTTGGACAACAGGTGCAAATGCCCAGGCAGCCAACACCAGCTGTTTTTTCAAAACCTAAGGCCAATGAATCCAAGCCCTTCCAAGCCTAGGAGCCACGCTCTGTAGCTTCTTGTGAGGTGAGTCCTCCTGCCCCCTACCCTCCCCAAGCACAGGAGTGGCTGGGCTACGCCTGAGCTTGGGGAACGGACTCCTGCTGATGGATGGCTCTAGGCCCACAGCACCTCAGAAACCAGCCCCGACATGCCCCTCAGAGGCAATCAGCGATGGAAGCCACTGTGACACAGATATCGCTGAACAGAATAGAAGTGTTCAGCCGACCAGCCTCATTTTCAACATCTTCCTAGGCTTCCACCTACAGCACATAAACCCCACGGCAGCTGAACGTGAAGCACTAGACCTCCTTCCTCTTCTTGGGCTCACCTGCTCTTCCCTCGCAGCCACAGAACCTCCCCTGGAGGTGGTCACTGCCCACACCGGCCACCCTAGGGAGGGGTGAGTCGTGGTGGCTAGAAGCCCTGGGCACTTCATTTTCTCATCCCACAGCAAGACAACCTGGGCAAAACGGATTCTTCAGGCTGCTTCCTGAGTCTACCGCATCTCAGTATTGCGTCAGCTTCATTCTTCGGCCCAATCACAACTGACCTTTGACCAGGCTGTCTAGCTACTCTGGGGCAGCTTTTCAGTTGTGCCCACAATGGTCCCTTGGCCCAGGCCTGTCCTTTAGCTCCGCCCACAGAACACTAGCATTCTGCACGGTGCCAGGACCTGGTCCACTGGGCTGCCGCTCCCCCTCAGATTCCGACCCTCACCGTGTTCTCAATTCCAAATCCCAGAACCCCTGGAAAGTGCTCTTGGGCCTCTTTCTAGAGCACCTGCAAACAGAGAAGCTGCAGTGGCCCCCAACAACTGCTGGGGACAATCCGTGGAGGACTCCCTGCTGGGATGCCTGGCACCGGAGCACCCAGCCTTTCCACTGGGTGGGGTGGGCGCTGAGTGGCAGATCAGTGATGTCTTTAGGAAGGTACAAGCCTGGGACCAGAGTTTAGGACCTTTAATTTGTCCTAAAGTCACTGAAGCAAAAATCATGATAAAACATTCTGTTTTCCTTTACAAGCCCTCAACGGGAAAAAAACCCCAACTATTTGTAGGAAAAAAAAGTTTTGTACATGGGATGAAACAATATAAATTCAAAACTTACAGATAGGGTTAGCTCTATCACTCATCTCTTTAAAAAGTTTATATGAATATCCAGTCAAAACCGACAGGTATTGCCCTTGAAATGTTATCTCTACGACTTCCAAGCAGACACAGGACTGTGTGCAGACACACTGTCTTGGAATGTCCTCAGAAGGCTCTGTCACTGTGCAGGTTAACAGAGTAAAAACCCCAGAGTCCTTTCTTTCAAATGGAAGAGGGAAAGACAGGGACAGAAGAAATTATTCAAACTTCGTCTTCTTTCCTTGTGGCTTGTGGTCTCCGCCTCCTCCTCTGCCGCCTCGGAACCCTCCTCTCCCTGCGGGAAGGTAAGACGTGATCAGGGAATGGCGCCAACCCACTCAGTCCCCCCACAGTGGTCCAGGAACTCGGCCCTGGCACTCAGCGCCACGCAGTGTCCAGCAGAGGCCCCGAGGCAGCCCCACCGGCCTTACCTCCGAAGCCTCCCCGGCCTCGGCCACCAAATCCACCACGGCCTCCTCTGCCACCACCTCGGCCTCCAAAGCCGCCTCTGCCTCCGCCACGGCCCCCAAAGCCACCTTCACCCTTCGGCTTGGCCCAGTCCAAAGTGACTTTGTTGCCGTCAATCTCCCCATCCTCCATAGCCTCCTTGGCGGCTTTGGCGTCCTCCTCACTGTTGAAGTCTACGAAGCCAAACCTGAAACAGAACGAAACCACGTGGTAAGCAGTGCCCAGCGAGCCCACTGCAAGCAGCTTTGCCTGTCGGTGAGAAAAGACCTAAGTGACAGCACAGCTCCCTGTGGAAACCGGCTAAGTGATGGTGTGCATGGCAGATGTCTCACAAAACAGCAAACATACCTCTGTAAAGACAGAAGGTAAGATAATGCTAGTTCTGTGAATTGTCTCTTCTTCTCTTGCGAATCCGTAAGCTGCCACCAATTGACAGAAAGGAGCTCAGTGAGAAGACTTGGTTTAGCCCCGCTCCGCCCAGGAGCGCAGCCGAGCGGAAGCCGCACTGCACGCACGCTCCCTGCACCTTACCCTTTGGAGGATCCCGTCTCCCGGTCCGTCACTATCCTCGCCCGGACAGAGCCGTCGAATGATTCCTTTAACGTCTCCTCGGTGGTCTCCTCAGACAAACCCTTGACAAACAAGGTCTTGGTTGGCTCTGGGGGGAAGAAAGCTTGCCTGTGATATCAAGTTCCCACATGACGTCTCCACGCTGGAGCAGAGCGACCCAGTGAACTGCCAACTCCAGCCATCGGCTGCAGTAAGATCCGCCACTGCCAAAGCCGCCGCTGAGCTGACAGCCAGATCAGAACTTGACTATCTAGAGGAATTCTCTCGAGATTTCATCATTCCTTCTCAGGCCGTCTGTCATCATATCCAGCTGCCATTCACTCAGCACAACAGAGCGTCCGCCCCAGCCACCACATCCCGCCCACAGGAACTTACGGTTTCTTGCGTTGGGTGACCCTCTGGGTGCCTGTAACTCCAGCCGGATGGCTCTGCCCTCAATTTCCCTTTTATTGCAGGAATTTAAAGCTTCTTTCGCATCTTCAAATGAGGCAAACTCTATAAACGCATACCTGGGAATCAACCATCAATACAGAGCGTTACCAGGCTCACGTGACGCCAGGCCTTTTCCCGCCAGCAGATACGGAAATGCTTTTCCACCTGCGTGTGCTGTCAACCCCCTCGGCTTCTGCCAGGAGAGTGGCTGTGCCCTTTACCCCTACAGACACAACACTTACCCTTTAGATTTGCCATTTTGGTTCTGTGGCACTTTGATGAACGTTGCCTTTTCAAAGACTTCCTGCAGAGTTTCTTCTGTTGCACTGTAGGAGAGATTGCTCAACACCAGAGTTTTTGATTCACCTGCAAATAGACGCCACCCTTAAGACTCTGAATCAGCGGTTCCTAGGTGTACTTTCTTGTTCTTAAGATTTTTTACCTGAAAAAGTTGCCCTACTGACGTTGAGGAAGCCCCACCTCCCTTCCTCAACACACGGCCCAGTCACCACGTGCAAGCACCGGGCACTCTGTCCTTTCTCACACGTGGAAGCTGACTACTGGTGTCTTCCCGGAACAGCTGCGGGGACAGGAGTGTGGCTCGACGGCTAAGGCAGCACTCTGGACGCTGCGTGAGCTGATTAACGGCAGCAGTGTTTGGCACAAGTCCATGGGCCCCTGCTATCCACATGGGAGACCCGGATGGATTCCCTGGCTCCTGGCTGTTGTGGGCATTTGGGGGATGAAGCAGACTAAAGAGCTCTGCCTTTTAAACAAAGTAAAATAATATTGGCCTATGCTCCTTTTTTTTTTTTTTTTTTGACAGGCAGAGTGGACAGAGAGAGAGAGAGAGAGAAAGGTCTTCCTTTTGCCGTTGGTTCACCCTCAATGGCCGCTGCGGCCGGTGTGCTGCAGCCGGCGCACCGCACTGATCCGAAGGCAAGAGCCAGGACCCAGGTGCTTTTCCTGGTCTCCCATGGGGTGCAGGGCCCAAGCACCTGGGCCATCCTCCACTGCACTCCCGGGCCACAGCAGAGAGCTGGCCTGGAAGAGGGGCAACCGGGACAGAATCCGGCGCCCCGACCGGGACTAGAACCCGGTGTGCCGGCGCCGCTATGCGGAGGATTAGCCTAGTGAGCCGCGGCACCGGCCTTGCCTATGCTCTTAAGATTTATTTATTCAAAAGGCAGAAAGAGAGAGAAACTGTTCTTCCAACTGCCAGCTCACTTCCCAAATGCCTGAAACAGCCAGGGCTGGAAAGGCCACAGCCAGGAGCAGGGACTCCACCCAGCTCTCCCACATGGGTAGGAAGCACTTGTGCCATGAATGGCTTCCTTCTCATGTGCATCAACAGAAAGCTGGAATGAGGCAGAGCTGACACGACCTGAAGCAGCGCTCCAGCGTGGGCTGCCGGTGCCGGGTGGCAGGGTAACCACCACGCCACACTGCCACCCCAGCTTCCCCATGTTCTGATGGGAATGATTTCCCAGCACAATGAGCAGCATGAACCTGCCTGATCTTTATTTATGTCTCAGTAACGCTAATTTACTCAAAGAATTCCCTGTAAGAAGCCTATGAACTCTTACCGCTCCAGGTGCTGTTCTTTCCCCCTCTATGGTCTTGATTTTGACCTTTCTCTCCAGTGTAATACAGGGAAACAGACCGTCCGTCGATCTCTGTTCCCTGCTTCTCCTCAAAGGTTTTCTCTGCGTCAGCTTCTGTTTTAAATTCAATATAAGCAATCCTGCAAAAAGGGACAAAGTACTTACGGATTTAAAAGCATTAACACCAATGTTTCAAACTTTGCCACACAGATCTGGCAAACACCCATTTCTCCACTGCCAACTTCTCTTCTCTTGACCTCCCCCTATTTCTACTCTAGTGACACCCCACCCACTGTGTCAGTCACATGTCCCTTAGTGACAGGGGTGTGTTCTTGTGGAGCCTGTCTACACAAACTGCGACAGCCATGACAGCACTAGGCAATGTAGGCTCACAGGCCCACTGTCACACAAGCAGTCTGTCACCATGTGAAATACCACCATGCAGCCCCACCAGGCACTTCTAAGCCATCACGCACCCATGAGACCGGAGCGGCACTCCTGGTATCAGGTCAAGAACTGTACTGACGGTAACCATCCTCAAACATACCCTTTACTCTTTCCATCCTTGCTGACCAGTCTGATCTCCACAGCATCTTCAAACACTTCCTTTAATTCATCCTGAGTGACTTTGTAAGGGAGATTTTTGGCCAAAAGTGTTCTTGCATCTCGATCTAGAAAAATACAACACCAACTCTGTAACCTTAATGAATAACAGGGATAAATGTGCACGCACACACAAAGCCCCAGTTCTATTCAAAATTTGAATCCAACGATGTCCAAGACTTTGTAGGGAGAACCAAGTGGGTCTCCCACATTGCATACTGTCAAATGGGCATCTAGACCAGAGAAATCAATCTATAGAAGGTGGTCAGTACCTTTGAGCAACAGAAAACAATCTAAGCATATAAAAAATAGAGCTGAAGATGCAAGTGGAGGCAAGCTCGTGTCCATTATTTCAGGTTGAGCACTGAGCATCTCTAATAATAAAAAAAACACCCAACTTTCTGAGCCCCCAATACACACCTCGAGTGGGAAGTTCCACAGCTCATCGTGTCAGGACTGCACTGGGCACTTGGTCTAGCACTGAGACAGCTGCACCCCCTTCTGGAGTACCTGGGTATCCCCAGTTCCTTGATACAGACCCTGCATGACAGTCGGCAGGGTCCCTACCACCCACGTACAAGGCCTGGATTGTGGTTGTGGCTCCAGCCAGGCCTCAGCACTCGTGAACCTCTGAGGAATAACCCAGTAAATGGAATCTAGTCTCTCCCTCCTTTAGAAGTTAAAACGCAGGTAGACTAAAAATGTCAAATTACCTTCAGGCTGTGTGTAAAACGTGTTTAAGATAGGGTCTCATCCCCAAGCTATTTGATTATATATGGAAAATATCCCAAAATCTTCAAAGAAAAACCTGAAGCATGGAGACTCTTTTGGTCCCAAGCATTTTGGATGAGAATGGCAACTTGCAACCCTTCTACCTTGGACACGCTGGTGCCGTCATCTGTGAAAGCCACACATACCCTTCTTGCTGTCTTTTCCTTTCGGTTTCTCCAGTTTAATTTCATTGCCAAAGACTTTCAAACCAGTCAATTCCAAGGCTTTTTCTAGGTCCTCAGCAGATTCAAAATCCACATAGCCAAACTTCCTTTAAGATGAAAGAGGGACATTTCTCAGAGGAAAAGGCACAGACCGTATTCTGAGCAGCAACGGCACTACTGCAATTAAGTAAAATAAACAAGACAAAACCCACCACCTTGCCTCCACAAATGGCTGAGGAGCAGACTGAAGTTCCAAGACATGATTTTCAAGTTCAGTTAACTCTGGATGGGCCAGTCACAACTCAGACTTGCTGACACACCCATTTAAGAATCAAGACAGTAGCAGCAAAAACACTGATAACCACTCAGACTACACAGCTGACAGAAGTAGGACTGGCATGGCATCTTAATTCTCTTATAATGCAGGCAAACACACCCGAGTGCCAGTTCGATCCCCGAGTTCAGGCTGGTCTTCTGATCCAGCTCTCTGCTATGAGCTGGGAGAACACTAGATTTCCCAAGTGCTTGGGCCCCTGCATCCATGTGGGAGACTTGGAAGAAGCTCCTGATTAGCCCAGTTCTAGCTGCTGCAGTCATTTGGGGAATGATCCAGCAGATGGAAGACCTTTCTGTCTGTAACTACCTCTCAAATAAATTAAATCTTCTAAAAGGGATTTCTAAGAACTCAACACCAAATTACCCAAATGTTATGAATTAGTCTGTCCGATAACATTAGGGTTGATTAGGGATTTCGGGGTTCTAGATTCTAAAAATCCAATGACTTCATTCAACATTGTCAAATTACTGAACACGTTCACACATCTATGTTTAAGGAAACCACACAGGTGAAGGCAGCTAGAGGAGCTATTAACAGACCCATGGATGTCAACAGGAAGGGAAAGCACCTACCTGGTTGTGCCAATTCTGACATCCACAACAGCAAGATCGTTTTTAGCAAAAACATCACTGATACCAGTTTTTAATTCAGGAGCAGATTTGCTAGAATTCAGGTTTCCAACAAACAGATTGAAAGATGTGGTTGGTTCTGTGGCTGTACAAAAAAATTACTTATCAGTCTCTGTAAAATATGGTAAAAAATCAGCTTCCAGTACAAAATGCCCACACAGCACATCAGTGTCTCGCATGTACCATCAGGCTTCAGCATTAAGTCCCCTTGTCGTTCATCACTTGTGCTATCAGAAGTCACCCCACCCAACACCCCAGTTCTCCCAGGTACCTTCCACTTTCTGCTTCTTGGCTTCTGGAGCTGACTTCTGTTTGGTCATTTCCTTCTTCCGTTTTCCAGGTGCTTC